TTTTCAACATTACTCTCATCTTCCTGAAAATTTAGGATGCTTTCAATGCAGAGTTTTATATTTAGGATCAAATGAATTATGCAGACAGAGGGAACTATGGGCTGGATGGTGGCTCGCTTCCAAACACTAGAAATTAAATTTCCCTCTTTTTTGATAATTAGTTCAAGGTCTTCACCATAGGTTACATCATGTCTCAGAAGCAAAAATAGGTCCCTATTAAAACTATGTAATGTCTCCTGTCTAGCAGATCCTATTTCTTCTTTATGCTCCCATCTCTCCACCTTCATAATTGCTTCTCCAACCTCAGAGCTCCTTTCTTATACAGGGCCTTAGATATATCAGACACAGGACAGGGGCTGATGATGGGGATTGCATTTGTCTAGCTTAGAAACTCAGTGCACCCAGGGCTCTGGAAAATAGGCTGGTAGGCATTAATAGCCTACGTGAGTAATACAACTTTTATGCACAGATCAGGTCATTTGGAGTTTGGGCACAGCTAAGTACAGGAATAATTACATCCTCTGTTGAGCTCAGTAGAGCAGATAAACATCCTCCTTACTGAACATTCAGCACATGTGCTAATGACCTATGTACCTCAGATGTGTCAGCACACTTTATACCATAAAGAACTCTTTGAAAGTTTCCCATTAGACACGTGTGAGTGAAGCTGAGAAGAAATATACCAAAAGGCATAACTAGGGCTCAAGCTCATGGCTTCTTTGGTTCTTCTGTGGGCTCCTTCTTGAATTTAATGGTGCTACGATGGAAGGACATTAATGTAATAATCACCGTCTAGAATTTATCACCCAGCACCAGTTTCATACATATCTGGAATTCAGAAATAACAGGAAGTATTCTGAGATTGAAATCTCTATTTCATTCAGTGAGAAGTTAAGGCACTTGTTTATATTCTACACAGGGCACATTTCCACAGCCACAACCCTAAAAGAACAAAACTATGGACTTTAGGCTCTTTTTAAAGTGATAAGTGGTATCTTTGCAATACCTGAAAGGCACGTTTATAAAAATTATCTGATTTTGGCTAGGTGCCAGTGGTTCATGCTTGCAATCCTAGCAATTTAGGAAACTGAGGTCTGAGGATTGTCATTCAAAGCCCAGCCCAGGCAGGAAAGTGAGACTCTTATTTCCAATTAACCACCAAAAAGTAGAGCTGTGGTTCAATTGGTAAAGTGCTAGCCTTGAGCCTAAAAGGCTCAGGGTGGTACCCAGGTTGAGTTCAAGCCTCAGAACTGGCACTGGCACTGGTACACATACACACATACACACACACACATACACACACACACACAGACACACACACACATACACACACACACAGACACACACACACATACACACACACACAAGCCATCTGATTTTGGGGACTATTAAGTTTACTTTAAAATTGAGGAAGAAATTGTAGAACTCTTAGACCCATCATCCCCTTTATAAATATATTTAATCCTTGATGTTTAATTCTCATTTACTAAAAATAGAAACCTGAACAGAGGCAATCTGCTGTTTTGGGCAAAGCACAATTATCAAGGAGCCATTTGATTCCACAGCAATGGACACAAACTACACCAGAATAAAATCTGTCCTCCCAGGGCAAAGTGATTTCTAAGGTTTCTAATAGATTCCAAGGATCAGTGAGTCACACATCCATCAGTGTCAAAAATAGTATAAAGATTAATCCCAAACAAAAGCCTTGTTCTTTTAGCTAGGTGTCCATTTGATTGTAATGTAAAAGAATGAGTGGCAGTATAATAGATCTAATCGGCTAAAGTATTTGGAAACTTGAAACATTTCCAATTAACGGGGATTGTCAAGTATGAGAACTCTTCGAGACCTAACCAATATTCTTTAAATAGCCGAGGATGTTCTACTGTGATAGCCAGTCTTCAAAAATAGCTCCTATTACCAGGAGCTAGTGGCCCACACCCATTGTCCTAGCTACTCTGGAGGCTGAAACCTGAGGATGGGCAGAAAAGTCTGTGGGACTATCTCCAATAAACTCAGAAAAAGTCCAAAGTCGTGCTGTGGCTCAAGTGGTAGGGTGCTAGCCCTGAGAAAAAGAATCTCAGGGATAGCACCCAGGCATTGAGTTCAAGCCCCAGGACCATCCTCCCCCAAAACAAATAGCACCTACAAGGCTGAAGATATGGCTCATTGGTGGAGCACCAGCTATAACTAGCAAGCCAAACAAATGAGGCCGAGTTCAAGTCCTGATGCCAGCAAAATCAACTACTGCTGTGAGCTTGGGTGGGTCCATGTGACTTGCTTTAGCCAAAGAATACACAGCAAGTGATGCTGTTCCTGGTTAATGCCTTAAGAGGTCCTGGCAGCTTAGACTTTTGTGCCTTTGGGAGGCCTAAGCTGCCATTGTTCTCCTTTCCTACATTAAGTACACCAGAGATCCAATAAATCTAATACTGGCACAAATTCTAAGGCTATCTTTGTTCTTACTGGTTGTATACACACACATATAATATATATATATATATATATATATATATATGTATGTATGTATGTATGTAATTATACACATATATATTTGGGAAAAAAGCTCTATTGTGGACTATAGATGATGACTAAGTGTCCTTTGTTGGGCCTCCCAGAGGGAGGTGCCAAATGGTTGAGAAATATGCTTTTCTTGTGTTATGTGCATGTATATGTACATGTGCATATGTGTGTGTGTGTTGTGTGTAGGGGGCAGGTACCTGAAGGAAGAGATAGTGTCAAAGCTGAAGGCTCAAGATGGCCCTGGACAGTTAAATGTGGAAGCTGATTTTCTTGAGATTATCACTTGTTGCCAGTTAAATTTAGGGATTTTTTTTCCCCCTTCCCCTCAACTGTCCATCAAGTTGGCCCTGATAATGCCAACTAGTAGGATGCTGCAGGGAGTTTTTGCATCAAAATGAGATAGAGGGATAAAGGTATATATAATACTAAGAGTTTTCAGGGCTGGAATTTAAGTCACACATTTTCTCAGTGATACCATTAAGACAGCCTTCACATTCACAAGATGGCTGCGTCTTCTCCTACCTTGGGTCAGCTCCAGAGTGAGGCACACGTAAAAGGGAGGAAGTATTCCCAGAGGTCTGTACTATGATAGGTTCCATGATTCCTAACAGAAAATAGTATTTCAATTCCTTTTGAATAAATGGTCCAATTATATCTAACCATTTTATCTAAGCCATTTTTTTTTTCTGAAAGGAGCCTGTCTTGTTTCCAATGATTTGCTAGCCCTTTTCCCAGGTTGTATTTGTGTATCTATTTTGCTATGACTCTAGAAAACAGTTGGTGTTTCTCCAGCCTCAAGGTTAATAACAAACTTACCCAAATCCTGAGAAGTAAAAATTTATTGATTTCTATATCAGCGTTTATGATATGGTTACACCTGTTCATACAGCTGACTTCTTAGAGCCGAGATTTTGCTTTTCCTTTTAAAAATACATTTTTTTTCACCAGGAAGAAACATTTTTTTTAAAGCAAGCAACTTCATATTAAGTGGGAATTAAAAACAATAGCTTCCCCCCAACTTGTGAAGAAGAGGGCTGGTCAGCAATAGATCTCTGAGTGCTTCAAATTTACTTTCAGGCCTCTGTCCCAATTTGTTCTTCCACAGAAAGTACTTCTCAGAGGAAAAAAACCGAGTACCTCACCAGAACAGCAGCTTAAATCTAGATTAAAAAAGAAGAGGTAGACTGAACTGTAACTATTTAACTTATTTGGTAGATAAGACAAAGTATTTTTTTTAACACATTTGAATTTTTCAGTGGGATCACATTCTACAAACAAAGTAACTAAACGATGTTTCAAATGTTTACAACAAAGTCTTAGAGATACTTATAATACATTTACTTAGCTTTGAGTAATAAAAACAACATTTTAGAAATATGCAAGCTTCCCTTGTACTTCAGGAAGTTTGCTCTTGTCAAATTCTTTTCAGATGAAAAGCTCACTCACTAGGGTTGATCTGAATGACTTTTCAGAGCCTTTTAGGTCTCTTCAAGGGTCAAGAGGAGCATCTTCTCTGAGCAGTGAGTAAATTAGTTTTGAGACGTTTATCCAATATCAATAATTTAAAACAAAAATGAAAATTCCAACCCTACAAAGAACAGGGCAGTGGTGTGCTGGAGACAGCTCCTACTGGCTCCCAAGAGCCTATCATTTAATTTTAGGATTTTCTTTTTCAGTACTTGTTAAGCAAGTTGTTAAAAACTTACTGAGTTATATAAAGTTATAATTGGTGCTGAAGGTACATGTGGCTTTGTATAAGCAGAAGAAATAATTTAACAGGAACAGTAAGTCACATATTAGATTGGATGACAATAACTTTATTGGGAAATGAGTCAGCAGTTTCGGACATAATGCTGTAATGCACATCTTGGTTGATCTAAGACCTTAGGTTGGCCATGTTTTAGCAAAAAGCAATTAAATATCTTGTTGAGAATCAAGATATAATTGGTGATCTGGACTGATGGTATTTATAACTTATTCACTCATGGACACATAATTTTTTTTGGTTGTGGGGCTTGAACTCTGGGCCTGGGCCCTCTCCCTGCGCTCTTCAGCTCAAGGCTAGTGCTCTACCGCTTAAGCCACAGTGCCACTTCTGGTTTTCTAGTGGTTTATTGGAGGTAAGAGTCTCATGGACTTTCCTGCCCCGGCTGGCTTTGAACCGTGATCCTCAGATCGCAGCCTCCTGTGTAGCTAGGATTACAGGTGTGAGCTACTGGCCCCAGGCTACATATATATATGCCCCCCCGCCCCCCAGGACAGTGGACTATTACCAGCATACTGCAGAATGGAAAGACAGAGAAGGGGACAAATCATGAAGCCAGTGAAGGAGTCTGACATGTTTTCATTTGGTGTTCCAGCTTACCCTCAACCTTCAACTGCATCATAGGCTCTAGCTTCACGCCTACAGGTGTTAATACTCACATAGCTCCAGGACACAGACACCGCAACCCCATTACTAAGAATGAAAAGCATTGTACTTGAAAAAAATCAACTTTATTTTCTCTACGTTTAAAAAAAAATAGAACCAGCTATTAATTTTTGCTGAGAAAATGCTTCTTTTGGTGTTTACATCTAAATTTCTGAAAAGGTGATCTGGTTACTAATTTTTATCCCAAATGCATTCGTAGCCAGATCCATGTGTGACCAGACCTTTACAGAAGTCAGGTACAGTTGCCACAGCCTTTACATTCACTCTCATCACACAGTACGTCATGTCATGCAGGTACACAAAGAAAGGTCAACAAGCCAAAGTAAACATTACAGCAGAAAATGAAAATCCATCTATATAAAATAAATAGAACTTCGTAATAAACTATAAAGAAAATGAAAGCACTTAATAAAAAAATGGCAGGTGAATGTGTAACTGTCTCATTACCCAATCATCAAGGAAGTTACTGTAAAATGCATGGATTCCTTACATGGAAAGAATTTGTGCACCACAGTTAAGTGTTCAACAGTTTTACACAATAAAAATAAAGCCATCTGAAATGCAACTAGAATACACTTAAAATCTTTTTGCTCTTTAAATTGTTTTAAAAAATATCAAATGTAAAAATCCTCAGATGGAAATTTTGCAGAAACTCCCATATTTTATCTTCATATGGCTACAGTCACCCTCCCCCAACAGTTCGGCACCCTCCACATACTCACACAGCCCACTTCCTAAGTGTTGGGGCCTGGTGCAAAATAGTTATAATTAAGCACCGAACAATGACTGCTCCAGAGTACACTTGGCCCTTTAGTGATCCAGAAATTTCCAATTTAGGTGGTTTTGGTCCCCAACCCATTAGTCTCTAATCCTCATAAAATGAACTAGTACACCTGTTGCCCAGTGCTCCTTTTGACTTTGCCTTGCATGATAACAGATGTTAGGCTCATAGCACTGCAGGACAAGAAAAACAAAACAAAACAAAACCACATGACAAACCATTATTACCCATCCACTGTGGACCAGAGTTGAATACACTCATAACGGTAACTCTGGAGTGAAGTCCTTGTAGTGACCTCAAAAAAAGAACAACAGAAACAGTTCACTCTTCCTATTCAGTAGTGCAAATAAAACATTTTTTAAATATAAAAAAGAATATACAACAAGACTATGATCAAAGACTACTTTCTAAGATTATAACCAGGACCAAGTAGTTCAGAAGAGTTTTTTCAGAAGTGATTGTCAAAAAACATGACTAAGACAAAACCACAAGAAGTGATCAACCAAAGTCAAGAATGAAGTTATATTTTCAACACTAGAATGATGCTCTGAGGTTTTATGCTAGAGAACTGAAGATTTCGTTTTCAAAACAATTTTAGCTCCAACCAGCTCTTGATTATTCAGGGATGCCTTTTCCAGCCCAGGGGTTACTCAGGTTTTGGTACTTCCTCTTCCTGATAGCAGTCTGTATTTCCATGTCATTTCACTTATTCATTAACACAATCATAAATACATAGGCAAAAGAAGTCAATCAATTCTCTCATTGATCCAATGGAAAAAATCAGAAAAAAATTATATTAGTAAGCATCCCTACAAGGAAAAAATGAGCGAAAATTCACACTTCTACACAGAATTTTTTTTGGCTTTCCTATGACTTACTACTACTGGATTAACTAACCAGTAATAAGTATGCAGTAATCCTTAATTCCTTTACTGTGGAAAATTAAGAATTAGTTGTAACATCATAAGAGATTGAATAACATGACAGATCTGAATTCACAGCTATCGTATATTCTCAGCAATTTTGCCCACCCCAAACATTTTCTACCTTGACTTTTCTTTAGCTTCATTGTGTATACGTTTCTCTATCATATATTTCAACACCAATCATTTTGAAGCTAAGAGTGAGCTACTGGCTTGGTCACTTTTGGAGTCACTGGACCTTACTGTGGCTGAGCAGATGCTCTATTATGACTGGCTGATACTAGATTCTGGTAGGGAGTTCTCGACCTGTCTGTAGTGGGAATCTAGGAAGTCCAACTGAGCCTGCAATGCTGAGATTTCTAATAAGTCACTGGTATAAAACTGACATAGGCATCCCCCCAACACACTTAGAACAAAAGCATAAGCTCCTTTCATTTCACTTTACAAAGAAAGCGCAGATAGGTATTTTTATTCAATTCTGTGTAGTGGCATATTGCTGCTGCCCCTGATTGCCATAAATGAACATGATTCTTTCTTTACATGTCTTAGTGCAAGCAGGTGAATTCCAGTTACTAAGAAGGAAAGCACTATCAATGCTTTCAAACATATTTTGCAAATATTTTCAGAAAGAATTGAAGAGGGGCAGGACAGTCAAATGCACATCTATTTACAAATCATGGATCTATTTTCAAAAGGTAACTCACAAATCTATCGATCATTTTAGAGACTGTGAAAATGACACTGCATTTGAAATGTAAAGCATCTTAACAGGAGAGTGTGTCTAACGCATACAGTATATTTAACAATATCATGTTCCTTTGGAGCACAGCAGTGGCAAAGGTGGCCCAATGCCACATTTGTTTATGCACATACGCACTATTTTTTGGATTAGACAACTGACCACTCTACCCTGTCGTCTCCTTTGCAATGAGGAAATAGTCTATTAGCTAGAACTGTACATGCTATACTTGACAGTGAGTAACTTCTCCCCCAGATGGCTAATGCCTCAAATGATCAACTTCAATTCATACTGAGTAGTGTTTGGTCTCAAAAAAAAACAACCCATTGTACAGCTTCTCTTTGGCTTTCTATCATCACTGATACCTCTAAATGAGACTTTTCACAAATTCATTCATTGTAGAATACATAATGATGTGCTGACTTCCCAAAACTGAATTAATAACAACTGTTCCCAAACCAAACATTCTGCATTTTGACAGTAGTGGTATAATATTAAATGAGGTATTTTCAGTTAATGAATCATTCTCTCTCATGTATTCTCTGAGTTATCTTAAAAGATGAAGCCGCTGGAAGAGTTTATTTGGTGTTGCTTTAGCTTTCCCACATAACTGGGGGAAAATTCACATTTTTTTCAGATTTTTCTTTTGGTTTATTTAGAACAGAGAACATTAGCTTTTATTTTTGTTCAACAGTCTACTTCTCAGAATTGTTATTTATGTGATTAGTTGGTAACGGGGATCTATAGTGCTTACATCACAGAAAACTACCACTGACTTATTCTTCGATCTTAACAGTTTTACAATCCTAAGCCAAAAACAAAAACAAAATCCTCTACCTAAACACTGATGTAGGGCCTGAACTTTTAGTGAAGTTTGGTTCTCCTATGAGGTAAATCACATGAACACAATGACAAATTTTAAAAAAAGTTTTCTAGAAATAATAGAACCTTGGCTTTACCCTCTTGTACAGATTGTACAACTGGAAAAGACTGAGAAGACTTTTGTGCCGGTCTCCCCTTGGTTACACCGCCCCGAGCGGCCAGCTGCTTGTTGTAATAACAAAACACATTGCTCTCTGCACCAGTTCTGGGGTGCTCACAAGACCTTGTCACCACTCTAAGCTAATGGATGTCTGGCTCAGGCTCTTATATTCCTAATAAACTAGTCTATTTTCCTTTAAGCTGATCATTTGAAGGTTTTGTTTCAATTATCCCCAACTACATTTACTGCTACTATGTATGTCAAGATGTGAAAAAGTTTCCCGCTACAAAGGGCATGGGGTCAGGAAGGTGACCAACACAGTGTGGTGCGGGAGCGCATCTGGGGCACAGATGAGGACAGGAGAGCCTCCTGGGAGCAGCTCACTGATGACGAGGCTTCCCTTTGTTTGTGGGCTTCGTGACTCTTTTGCTATGTCTACATCTGATAAAAACGCATTTTGTAAAATACAACTATCAGTCTGTGATATGCCTTCTGAACAGAAAGAGAAATTCAGTGATATAGCCACAGCAGAAGGGAGAGCACTAGTGCATGTAAACATGGTGCTGGACTGAGCTGGCCTCTGAAGGAACACAGGTGTTCAGTGGACACCGCCCCGTCCTCAAGAAGGCCAACACTGGGTTTCTGTCCCGTGTCGAGGACTGGAGTCTGCTACCACAAATGGCCAGGACACCAGTCTTCAGGAGGTGCCCAGTTGTTCTTCTCAGACTACTAGAACCACAGTGTGGGTAGTGAAATGAGGGCGCTGTGGAGCACTGCTCTGATGGAGATTACTAGCTAAGAGGGGTGAGCCCACTTCTGAGCCTGCACTACATGACCAAGTGTATCTGGTGGCAACAGTTTCTTTCGATGTCTTCTAGGATGATTTTATGATTTCTTCTTCTCCAAATAGGATGTTTCCTTAAATATATTGTAGAGTGTATCTCTTTAAAACATGGCAAGTTCTTAAAATATATTATTAGCAGGTCATTATATTACTGATCTTCATTTTAGTGGAGTTTTAAAATATCCCAAAGGGGGATAAACATTAATCCATCCATTGAATTTCCTTTGCTTTTTTGATAGTATTTTGATTTGCACATGTAAAATAATGCACACTTATGAAAGTCTGAACTCCTATGGTGACCTTGACAAGTCCAAGTCAATCTCTAAAATAGGCAATGGTAAAAATACTGAATGATGTTGTACCACATGTAGCCTGACAAAAACGCAAAAGACTGTATGAGAAATATCCACATGTTGCTGAGGGTCATCTCCTTGGAAACAGCTTCTTTATGGCCCTTGAGAGGTGGAAAGGCTCCTAAAAGATAGGATAGAAATTTGTTTTATTGTGGTGGCAGGTATCCTGGAATAAAAGTTGAAGATTATTTTAATTACACTTGTGTTTTTCTGTGATTTTTCATTGCTTTTGAGAGATTTAGTCTAAGCTGTGTATCCTTGTCTTATATCCTGGCCCTTGACTTTATTACTCTGCTTTATTACTCTCCTTCTCAGTAAATGGCTGGATCACTGGCATCCATCCCACACCAGAAAAATGCCTACCCCCTGAGCCCTTCCATTCTCCTGTCCAGCTTCAGTTCCTTCTTGGCATTTTCCCCAATGTGTAATGGTCTCTTGTCTCTGTCTCTGCCTCTCTCCTTGTTTACCACCTGTCTACCAATGGAATAAAATCTGCATGAGAACCAGGACTCTAGTTGCCTGTCTTATATGTCCACTGGATCCCTACAGAGTTCCACAGAGTTCCACAGATCAGTAAAATCGACATCAAACACTTTCTGAAATAGCAAAATTTATACTAATTCCTCTATATACAAGTTAGATTTATTTTGGTCCTGAAAAGTACTTATATAATACTGACCTTTTCAAGAGGCAATATGATTTATTAAATATATCTTAGTAACAAAAAAGGGGAATACAAAGTAATTAGACATGTCTGAATTCTCTTCTGAAAGGAAAACTAGATCACTTCAGAGCAAACTTATGAAGGTCATCTTTAACACTGTTCAGCATTCAGTCTGTCCTTGCTAATAATCCCCCAGGGTAAGCTGATTCACAAGGGGATTTGCTTCTTGCAAGTAATTTAGCATGCACTTTAGGATTTCAAGATCTAATATGAAAATAGCTTTGTTTCTTTCTTTTTTTCGGGGGGGGGCAGTCCTGGGGTTTGAACTCAGAATCTGGGAGCTGTCCCTGAACTACTTTTGCTCAAGGCTAGCACTCTACCACTTGAGCCACAGTGCTACTTCTGGCTTTTTCTGTGTACATGGTACTGAGGAGTCAAACCCAGGGCTTCATGCATTCTAGGTAGGCACTCCACCTCTAAGCCACATTCCCAGCCTGAAAATAGCATTCTTAAAAAGAGTTTTCCAAGCTGGGCATGAGGGCTGAAATCCTATCTATTCAGGAGGCTGAGATACGAGGTTTGCTGTTCAAAGCCAGCCTAGGCAAGAAAGTCCATGAGACTCTAACCACTGGAAAACTGGAAGTGGCACTGTGGCTCAAAGTGGTAGAGTGCTTGCCCGAAGCAAAACTGCTCAGGGAGATCAGCTAGGCCCTGAGTTCAAACCCCATGACCTACAAAAAAAAAAGAGGCTTCCGTTATTCCATTACTCTTGCTACAATAATTTAGGCTAAATATCACAAGACAAGTGACTGAGGATTAAAAAGGAGAGAGAACATGCAGGTCTCTTATCTCATGCCTTCTCAGCCCTTCAGTCAAATCTGTGTAACCAATGGTTATCCTGAGATCCAAGATACCTCTGTTTACTTTTTCATCCCCTTTAGTTGCTAGAAAAATAGGCCTAACAGCACAGCAGTTCCTCAAAGCACTTTGGAAGTCTCTGGCATTCTACCAATGTTATTTCTTTCCTTTCTTCTTCCACCTCCCCTCATGTTTTTCTCATTGTAGTACTCATGAAATATTGAGAAGATAGAATAGAACTGAGTTTCAGATAGACATGATTTCCTTCCCAGGGAGAAAAAGACTGTATCCACGAAAATTTAAGAAAAAACTATTCCTCATGTAAAGTTTTTTTTTTTGCTTCCCAGATGCTATAAAGTAAGCAGCTTCTCTCTACCTTGTGTCTTTCGCCATGATCTTCAGAGATCAAGTGACCACAGACTGAAATTGTTGCAGCTGGGCTCACAATTAAGTTTACCTTGAGGCTCACAAAAGACTTGGTTTGGATTTTTGAGTAATGCTGAAACTCTAAGACTTTGGGGACTTACAGAGATAGATTAGAGGCTGATTATGAGATGGACTTGAGTTTTTAGGAGTCAGCAGCAGCATTCACAGTTTGGCTCTGAACTATTCCCCACACCAGTAGAAGCTAACCTGTGGCACTACTGGAAGGTGATGCAACCTTTAGGAAATGGGATGTAATGAAAGAATTGAGTTTACTAGTGGGGCAGGGTAACACCTTGAATGGATATTGGGACTCTGGCCCCTCATTGTTTTTGCTTTCTAGCCACCAGGAGGTAAGCAGCTTTACTATGTCACATATCTACTAAAATAATGTTCTGCCTGGTCCCAGGCCACTGGCCCAAAGCAATGGACTGAGACCTCTGAAACCATGTGACAAATCTTTCCTCAAAATTGTTTTCAAAAAAGCATTTTAAAAAATGACCACAGGGCTAAGAAGGTGGCTCAGTGGTAGAATGTCTGCCTTGCATCCAGGAAGCCCTGAATTCAATTCCTCAGCACCTGCAGAAACGGAAAAAGCCAGAAGTGGTGCTGTGGCTCAAGTGGCAGAGTACTACACGTGAACAAAAGAAGCTCAGAGATAGTGTCCAAGCCCTGAGTTCAAGCTCCTGGACTGGCAAAAACAAATAAACAAAAATGATCGCAAATGACACTAATAATCAAGTACAGTGATTAGACTGGATGTTATCACTACTTCATAAAACACCTCACATAATGGGGTAAGAATGATTGTAACCTGCAGACTGTTGTTCCTTCTTGTGTAGCCTCTTGAATGAGATCTAGTATGTGACATCACACTTGTCACATGGTCCTTGCCCACAGGTTAATAAAGAACATAAATACATTTAACATAAACTTATCTTTACAGAAATTCTAAACAGAAAATCTTAACTATAAAAATATTCTGATTTCTTTTAGGATATCGACAGAATTTTGAAGAAAGAAAAAGGTTCTCTCAATGCATACATTTGAAATATCTAGTAACTTCACAAATGCATGTAAACAGAAGAGACTGTGTACCTGTTTCATAAAAATGTGATAAGAGGTCCTCTTTTTCAATAAACCGTTGATAGAGCCAATTGGCAAGATCATCTGTCTCCAGAGGTACATCTTTAATTGGAAAGATCCTATTAAGAGGGGAATAAAGGGTAAATTTGCCCTTAATTCAGAAGTGGAAATCATTCAGAACCATACATTAGCTTTGATGATAAAAAGCTGAATAAACTTACTAGCCAACTGTGCTTTTTTTTTTTTTTTTCCAACTGTGCTTTTGTAAGAGTTAGCTTCTTCAGCTTCTCAGGGCCTCCTGACCTTTTGAAGTTATTGATTACACAGCAGTCATTTATACATTCATAAAAAAACATTCAGTCTCATATTTTGTGTTAGGTGCTGAAAAGCATACTTTTAAATTGTGCTCTGTTGGAAGTGGCGCTGTGGCTCAAGCCGTACAGCGCTCACCTTGAGCTGAAGAGCACAAGGACAGCGCCCAAGCCCAGAGTTCAAGCCCCATGACCAACAAAAAACAAAAACAAAACAAAACAAACAAACTAAATTGTGCTGTCAATGAATAATTACTAGGAATAATTATGTCTCGTATGTTTGTGGAGTTATGAATAAGCAGTATATAGAAGAGATAAAAATTTAAATGTAGCTAAATGAGTACATGCTCAGTCATTTAGTGAAATGCTAGATCAAATAATGCATCTTGGCATTACTTGGTGGGAAAGTCTGAGAACCAAATGAAATCTGCCCAAATTAGTGGCTTTTACTAATTATATATTTCACGAATAGACTACTTTTTGTTTTTCAGTACTGGGGTTTGAACTCAGGACCTTTTGCTTGCCTGGGTAGATGTTCTACTATTTGAGCTATACCCCCAAGCCCCACTTTTTTTGTCAGTAGTTGGGCTTCAACTCTGAGCCTGGGTGCTGTCCCTGAGCTCTTTAGCTCAAGGCAAGCACTCTACCGCTTGAGCCACAGCACCACTTCTGGTTTTCTGGTGGTTAACTGGCGATAAGAGTCTCACTGATGTTCCTGCCTGGGCTGGCTTTGAACTGGGATCCTCAGATCTCAGCCTCCTGATAGCTAGGATTACAGGCATGAGCCACTGACACCCTGCCCCAATTCTTTTTATTTTTTAAATTGGTCTCATGTTTATGCTCAGGTCAACAAGTACTGTGATCCTATGTATACTTCCTGTGTAGCTGGGATGATAGGTGTGTGCTACCATGATCAGTTTTTTAATTGGTTGAGATAGGAGTTTTGCAGACTTTTGCAAAGGCTGCATTAATTCATGATTGTGTAGACCTCAGCCTCCCAAGTAGCTCAGACGATAGGCTTGAGCCACTACCATCTATCTAGCACACGCTGGCTTGAAACTTGCAATCCTCCTGCCTCTACCTTCCAAGTGCCAGGATTACAGACATGACCATCATGTCCAGCTAAGACAACTTTTACTGACTGGGAGTGGCTTTTGGGACACTATTCTAAAGACTCTGGGACCATGTCCTAGTTCAACAGGAAATATGAATGTGATCATTAATGATACCAATGAAGTGAGAGGAAAAGAGGCAGTATGAGTGTTATTTACTATGAGGTTTTTGTGTTTTTCAATTTATTGGCAGCTTTTTCTCTATTTTTTTTCTTTATTAAAGACATAAGCATGTAGCTTTTAAAAAAATCTGCATTGGGCTGGGAAGGTGGCTCAGCGGTAGAGCGCTTGCCCTGATTGCAAGAGGCCCTGGGTTCAATTCCTCAGCACCACATAAGCAGAAAAAAAGCCGGAAGTGATGGGGGCTGGGAAGGTGGCTCAGCGGTAGAGCGCTTGCCTTGCATGTATGAGGCTCTGGGTTCGATTCCTCAGCACCACATAAGCAAAAAGAAAAAAGTCGAAAGTGGCACTGTGGCTCAAGTGGTAGAGCACTAGCCTTGAGCTGAAGAGCTGAGGGACAGCGCCCAAGCCCAGAGTTCAGGCCCCACAACCGGACCCCCCCCAAAAAAAATCTGCAAAAAATGTATATGAAAAATGGCAGTCTTTCCCTTCTTTTTGTTTCTCTCTCCCTAGGGGAATCGATTCTCACCTCCTTTAAATGATTACCTTGGTATTTATGATTATGTTCCTTCTGTTTTAATGGTTTGACTTCCTGATAATGAAAGATAAGAATCAAATTGCTTCCTTTTCCTATTCACATGCACAGTTGTATAGTTAATTCAGTCAGCTCAATCTTAGCTGTTTTGTAATATCAAAATCTAGGCATAATCACACAGATGAGCCAAGCCATGAAGTAAATCCTGGCTACTTTGTCCTCTTGCCCAATTTTTATTTTCCCTAGATTAGTCATTTATGTTGCTTTCCATTTGCTTCATTTTCTATATACATGCAACTACTGCCACCATAAGCTCTGTCAGTTGCCTAGATCACGGACTGTTTGAAAGGCTAGGCAGATTTTAGATGTTGAACAATTTGGTTTCTGTCATAGCTACTAGTTCTTTCTGTAGTAATGAAAGCGGCTGGTGAGAATGTATAAATAAACATGCAGAACTATGATTAAAAATTTTTATCTTAAAATGCCATGAAGACTGGATTTGATGCTTGCCATTTTCATTCTGTGACATCACTATCATCCTGATATGCTACACTCCTGAAATGGATACAGTGTTCCCCAAACCTCAGTCTTCCTTTTTCCCTCCTCATTTCATGGAACATATCCTCCAGAAATTCTTTGAGAAAGGTTATTTCAAATCTTACATGTCTGCTACTGCCATTTCCCCCTGTATTTCTGTAATTTGAATCTTAAATGCTCCCCAAACAGTAATATTGTGAGAGGATCAATCCTCAGGGAGGAGCTAGCTATCAGGAGGCGGTGAATCATTTAAAAGATGGTGGCTCTTGGGATGTTCTTAGGTTATTAAGGACGTGTCCTTGAAGTAGGTGTGGGGTCCCAGCTTCCTCTTCTCTCTTTGCTCCTTGACCTGAGGTGAGTAGTTTTGCTCCACTACACACTCTGACCATGGTATCACAAGCCCCAAAATAACAGGGCCAATTCATCTTGACTAAAACTTGTAGAACTGTAAGCCAAAGAAACTTCTTCTCTTTATAAATTATATATAATTATATATAACAAGTATCTATATCAGGTATTTGTTAAAATTCACAAACACAGTCCTCAACCTTGGCTGCCTAATAATTTGGCTAGATATAGGATTCAGGGTTAGAAACCATTTTCTTCCATTGCTGTCTTTTTGTTTTCCTTTATGGAAGATTTCTTATTTAACTTCTAAACCTCCTATTGACATGTTCTTTTATTGTATTTTTAATTTCTAAGAGCTCTTTCATGTTCCATTTTTATAGTATGCTATTTTTGTTTTATTGTTGCAGTCTCTTATTGTTACAAGAAGTCTTTACAACTATAACAGAAAAAACTTAAATATTCACAAAAGTAAAGAAGAGGGTTAAAATTGGAATTTTTGGAAGTTATCCTTTCCTCATACTGCCTCTGTTCCTCCAAGTTACCTCCTCTGTTTGCTTTCAGAGAAATCTAATGCTGGTATTAGATTGCTAATACCAGTAATTCTTCGTTGCTTTCTCACAGTTGCAGATGTAAGGCTAAACAGCTAATTCAAGGTTCTCAGAGTGTGTGGGGCCTGCTAACCATGAGCTCGCTGAGGGCAATCTGGAGGGCCCATATCAAATAGTCTTTTTTATTTTTTATTTTTTGGGTCCAGTCGTGGGCCTGAACTCTGGGCCTGGGCGCTGTCCCTCAGCTCTTCAGCTCAAGGCTAGCGCTCTACCACCTGAGCCACAGTGCCACTTCCAGCTTTTTTTTTCTGCTTATGTGGTACTGAGGAATCGAACCCAGGGTCATTCATGCAAGGCAAGCGCTCTACCACTGAGCCACCTTCCCAGCCTGTCTTTTTTATTCTTAAATGCATCCATTTCTCACTAGAGGGTAAAACTTTCCTGTGGCCAGAGAAATAAGAGGGCTGGGAATGTCAGCACTCAGCACACTGACATCCCTTCACCAATGGGGACCTGGGCCTCAGCAAGGCCTGTGACTCCTCAGCACAGAGTTCCTATTTCCTACTCTGCAGGAAGCCTTCAGTGTTTGCCAGGCCAGGGAAAGAATTAGCCAGCTGCAAGGTGCAGGATCTGAATTCTGATCAGAGTTCTTCCAGAGCATATTTTGACCAGTCTGCCCAAAGTTTAGTAGCACTTTTAACCCTATGTCCACAGGTATTGATGTGGCCAGCCTTTCAGAAGCTCTACAGTGTGAATTCCCAGTTCCCCACATGGGGCTCAGAATTTTGTTGCCAGCTTCCTAAGGACTGATGACAGTGGCTTCCCTTATGTTCTCTTCTTCCTTGTGAGTTTCCACCTTTAAAAAACCCATTTAGGCTGAGTGCCTGTAATCCTAGCTACTCAGGAGGTTGAGATCTGATGATGATGGTTCAAAGCCAGCCTAGGCAGGAACATCTGTCTGTGAGACCCTTATCTCCAGTAAACTACCAAAAGCCAGAGGTGGAGCTGTAGCTCATGTGTTAGAAGGTTAGCCTTGAGCAAAAGAAGCCTTGGGAACAGAGTCCAGGCCCTGCATTCAAGCCCTAGAAATGGCCAAGGGGGGAAAAATACAGATAGGTTCCTTTTTTACAAACATAGTCTCCAAGTGCTTCACACTTGGAAGAAGTCAAATTATCCCTATTCACAGATGATAGAATTCTATAATTGAAGACCTTAAAGAAGCTGGGTGGCTCATGCCTAAAATCCTGACTTCTCAGGAGGCTGAAATCTGAGGATCTGAAGCTACAAAGAGGACCCATCTGTGAGTCCTTTTCATTCTCTTTAAGATTATAGCTGTCTTATGTTTTCATCTCAACTTTCATCTTGATTAAATAAAAACATTCTGAGTCATGGAGATAAGCACCTTATAATTAAGCACTACAGTGTGACTATCAGGCCTGTGCTTGTGTAATCAGTTGGTACCATGTAATACTACTGAAAGCAAAAGGCCAGAGAAGTGAGCAAAGGCATATTTAAGAGCAAAGCCTATTCTCTTACCTCTTGAAATTGAAGACTGAGCTGTAACTCTCATAACTTTGTCTGTTTTTATGTTTTAGCAGTACTGGGGCT